TCCCTCTCCCCCGCCCCCCCCTCCCCCCCCCCGTTCTGCGCTGCCTAACAAAAGATTTTCAACAAAAGAAATTCTTCCTGGTTTGTAAAACAGTTGTGTAAAACTTGGACTGTAAAGCCACAGTTGACTGCTTTAATGTGGAACAGTTGGGAGGGTGGGGAATCGCTGGCAGGTTGGGACAGGACACAGCAATGGTGCCCCTATTCTGTCGAGGGTCTACTTAGTCACACCACCTGCTCCCCCTATTCTTTCAAAGGCAAACCAGTCATGACAGTATGAACAGACGGATGTTTAGCCTCAATACCTTGGACACACGGCACCAGACGGAGCAAGGGGAGTTAAGAAAAGATAAATTAAGTGATCAATAAAGATAAGGGACCTGTTTAGCAGTAAATGGTGGGGACAGAGCAGACAGAACAAGGGGTGAACGTGTGTTAAATAATGCAAGTGTGTGTTCAGCTAAACTCAAACTTTTCAAATCCATGTATTGTTCCCCAAAAAGCCTTTTTTCCCGGGCGTTGGTTAATTGTGTTTTAGGTAGATGTAAAGTGTCTGTAGGCACATACGGGCTCCCCGATATAAGTCTCTTCAGAGTCAGCTGTGCTGTTTGGTACTTGGCTGGAGTGGGAGGAAGGGGAAGAGAAAGGGGTCTGTGTCCGGAGTTGAGTCAGTGACCTATTTGCACCTCCCGCCTTTGTGATATAAGGGCAAGTATAGTGAGGAGCAACAAAGTTCTGATAGAGAATAAGTAACAGTGCTTTGACAGCTGATTGACAGTTAAGTGGTCCAAAACTGTGGGATTATTTTAACTGGCTATCACACTCTTCGTTTCAAGGGCACTCTTCTTGTTCTGTCCTTCTGCCTAGCATAGCAAAGGTCTTGACCTTCAGGCTTAGACTTCTAATCCTACCGTAGTTTAATAAGAATTAAATATAAAAATCAACCTACAGTCTTGCTTCACCTTCAGCGTAAAAAAGCTCGCAGTTGAGTAGCTGCAGAAAAACTCTGTAGTTTTACGTAGCAGTAGTCTGCACCACGAAAAAGGTTCTTCCACCTGTCGACGGTTACAAAATAAGGTACCAATGTAAACGATAATGCGCAGCCCAAATGAGAGTTGTTTTTTAATACGAGTATGTCTCTTGCTCTCCTCTAATGCCCAAAAAAGGAGGTACTTTTGTCTCTGGAAGATTCAGGGTTGAGGCAATTAAACCCATTACTGTGATATAAGTGATGGTGTGTTTTACCGTGCCTCAACTACTCCGTGGTAGCAGCATACAAGGGAGAAGCTACTTGGCGTTTAGCTCCAGCTACCCTGGAGTAAGTGTAGGCATAGAGAAAGGTGATATGATGCATTGTAAGTTTATAACTTTGCTTGCTTTAAGGCACCTTGTTCTTGTGCTTAGGCTACCAGTACCGCCCACTCATTCAGGAAATTGCACTTTAAGCACTACTAATCTTAGAATAGAATAGTTCACTTGGAAAGGACCTAACAACAGTCATGTGGTCCAACTGCCTGAGTGTCAGCAAGCAATATGCTCAATGGACTAGGACCTTGTGGCGCTCTCAGCGCTCACATTATAGTTCAAACCCCAAATAATAAAATGACTTACCTGTTCCAGTCCGTTAAGTTGATTAATCTTCTTTTCCGCTTGTTGTTGTCCCAATATGATTAAAGACATTGTCACTCTGTTTAAATGGATAACCGCCAGACCACATTAAATAGGCTCTCCTGATTGCACTTCACCTAGTAGATCATATAGGTCCTGTGGCCTCAGCTCCCATCCTTTCCATTATTTTATTTGTGTACTTGTTGTGTAATGCTAAAACAATGATGCTGTACAATGAGTAGTAAAGTGCTGTGAGTTTTTAAGGTGTCACTCACCAAAATATCCCAGGATGTGAAAACTGAATTGTAGTGGTGCGATGGGGCATAAAATCTATTTCCGTGTTATGAAGGTATACAAAAGTCTATTCCTTTTCACTAGGCAGAAGAAAATGCAGACACCTAGAAGTAACTGGTAGGTAGACTAACGGGATAGGGAGAAACAGTTGACTCAAAAAGAAGAATTTAATCAGCCTTGGTGACTCGGTGATGACTTGTAAGTGCAGCTGAGCCTCAGCTGTTCTCTCTAGTGTCATCCTGAACTGACATTTTGATTTTCCTTTTAGAGCTGAAATGATTCTCGCTGAGTGTCCACAGCTGATCCTGCGCAGCTATGGGGACCTGGGCAGTGGGAACACGTTTCCCGAGGGGAGAGGGGCCAGCACAGCTGCATGGAGACAGCTGTTACGGTCGGGTGGTTCTCATCACTGTGAAGATGGAGGTGCCCTCCACAAACCGTCCCAGCATTTCACGTCGCAACATATGCCTCCAGCCACCTTGACTGTTCCACAGCACATCATTCATGAAAAAACCCACAAGTCTGTGGCAATACTGGCTAGCTCAGATTGGGAAGCTTCCTATGCTCCAGGTAGTGCTATTGCAGCCTTCCTCTGATGGCCACATCAGGCATTATAGGCTCCAGTTGGAGCTCGCTGTTTAAAGGCCCTGCACGGTGCAGGATCCCTTTATTTTCGCCATACATGGGTTTTATTGATTATGAGAATTCCAGGAGAAGGATGGAAAATGAGGGTAACCTGGAGAATAAGCCTTCCGCCCATTTTAGATGTGAGCCACAGGACACTGTAGGGATACCTGGTTATATGTAATAGTGATGGAAAGCCGGGTAAATGCTTGGAATTACTCCAACACCTGTGGGAGTTAACGGTTCTGGACCAATGTCCTCGATGTTGGTCCTTTGGCCCTCTGTAGCTAAACTTTTTTTTTTGCCCCCTTAATGAGACAGTGGAGCTTTCTTCCAATGTGTGTTTCTTGGCTGCCCAGAATCCCAGGACTCAGCTGTGCTTTGGAGACCTGCCTGGGTTGGAGGTTGTAACGGTATTTCCACACTTGTATTTTTAATGGTTTTCTTTGAAGGCGGGGGGTGGTGGTAAAGGAGAAGAAGGTATGCAATAGAGTGGGGAGTGAGGGATATGAATGGCTTCTTGCAGTGTTGTTAAAACCCAGTGCCGTGTCACAGTAGTGCTTGAAAATGGGATGGTGATACTGACTAGAAA